GTACCGGTTTGGCACCGGTATCGGATAAAACCTAAACGATACCCATCCCTATCCATAAGTGATCTAGCCTTGTGTTGCTTCTGAAGTGTTCTTGTATTTCATATCACATCATCACTGTTTGATACCCGACACAACTAAAATGACTAACCTAATTAAAAGGTCACTCATTCAAGTACTCAGGAATAGAAATGTACAGTGTATGAATGCTTGGTGTCAATAGACTTGGACGGGTGTGTGGAGGGGCTGTTGGGTACAGGTTCCACTTACAGGGAGGTGAGACTTGGAGGCCCAAATTGCATTCATTTGTAAACTTTAAGTGCATGCTGCATGAAATAGGAACACGATGCTTCAGTATGACCTTGCACCGTAAACTTTATTCCTCTTGCTGTAGGAGGAAAAGGCATTAAAAAAGCTGCAGACATTCATCTGTTGCGTTAGTTTGTGACTTGGCTGAAACAGGCCTTGAAATGCAGGCTGATATGGATATACTGTGAGACAGAAGTGAGCTTGGAAGGCGATACAAAGTAAACCACTTCCTCTATCATGCTTCCCAGAATGCACCCTGCCAGATGTGGTTATATACAGTAGTAGCGCAGCTTCCAAGGTTAGGACTTTTCCCATAACCCTCCAGCTCTGTGAATCTCAACACACACATTACTATATTTTTCTCCTGACCCAGCTGGTCAGTGGGCTGACAGTTGGCTTCCGTGCCGTTTTCAGGACGCAGTTTCCAAAGATATCCCTCGATATTTTATTTTATTTTATTTTTTATTTAATTTGCTCTGAGCCGTGTCTCAAGTTTCCTTTAGAAGTGATATGGAAGCTTAAATGTGAAACTAGTATGAGTGTTTTGCTAGGCAAACTGCTAAATGCATTCATGTATTATTTCAATTAGATGGGAAAACTGGTAACAAAGCTTTAGAAAACTGTCTCCATTAAAATGGCACGAAGGGTCTAAAGTAAGCATGTGTGAGTGTTTCGGGGGAGGAATAGTAATTGAGACGCTGCTGTGTGCTGCCAAACTGTTCGGTAGCAGAGACCTGAGCCCCCCTTTGGGCCACTCAAGGATTTAAAGGGAAGGTCTGTCTTTCTTGCAGAGTGTGGGGAATGTGACTGGCACAAAGTGAAGGCCCCACCAGGTGTTCTGCTGCATGCACATCCCTTGCCGTGACGCACACTCTCCTGTACAAACCCAGATTTTCGTGCGATTCTGTTTCAGGTCTTATGGATGCCGCGTGCTGCGTGCGTAAGCGCGCACGTCGGCTCCCGTCTGTAGTTGAAAGAAATGCGATCCCTCTCGCAGCTCCTCCAGGAAAGCAGATTCCATGACTGTAACGGCGATGCTGAGAGGCTTCCAGCGATTGGGATGTGATACTTTGACAGAGATGTTATCCAGGAACTGGTTTGGCTTTGGCTTCAAATAACACGCAAGCCTGTTTTTGGGGTAGTTTGAGACGTATAGAATAAAAAATACTTTTTAATATTAAGGAAATTACAGAGTCGAAGGATATACAAGGAGGTATTAAGCAAAGTAAAATTCTGAAACTTTTAAACTTTTATTTAAAGAGTAGAGATTGAAGCTAGAGATATTTGCGTATTACAGTTTGTTGTGGAGGAAGTAGTGCAAAAAAAGTTGTTTGGGGTAATTTAAGATGGTCTGTTCAGCCGAGCAGCTCCAAAGCATGTTCCAACAAACATAACAGTGTCGGGGGTGTCATGACGTGGCGAATGGAGGACTAACAGAAAAGCGATGGGGCCCACAGGAAGTCTGAAAAGCTGATTTCAACCCTGTGCCCTCATACAGATGGAATTACACAGCAAGTAATACAAGAGTTAAACATTGAATAGTTGTTAAATGAGTATTTAGAATCTTTACTTAACAGTTAAATAAAGAAAATAAAGAGTTACAGGCATCTAAATAGTGCAAAGCACAACATTTGCATGGCAAAATATGATTCAGTGGACGTAGAAATACAAGTACATTAAAACATTACCTGTAAGTAGTTGAGTACATGTACTGTTGGATCCTGTGAGTCGGTCCTGCTCATGCTTTCATCCACTGGTGCCGGCCATGTGCCTGATAGTTGGGATGTAGTTGTGGAGATGAGGGAAGCTTAATTTAGAGTCAATGACTTATCTTAAGCAAGTGACTAGTACTGTTTTGAGGATTTATACTCATGCTGATGTTCCCGTGGTGCTCTGCAGCTTTGCTGAATGCAGTAGTCGGCAGTAGGGATTCTCAGCCAGATGTCTTGTCATTTGAAATGCCAAACAGTTGAAGTGAATGTGGTGTGCATGCTTGGAAGTGTTATGTATGCAGAGAAATCAGCTGAAGTGTAGAATTTTGACGACTTTTGGCCCTCAAAGCACTGGAATCGCCAAAAATGAAGGCAAGTACATGTTAACTAAAGACAGTATGAGCCTATGTCTCACTGAACATTAGACTTATTAATCATTTATTAAAAAAGAAAAAGTGACATTAAAAACAAAGGTCCAGTATTAATGACTGAGATATTAAAGTGAAAATATCATTAATCTTATTTTCAAGCTTCGTATTTTAATTCTCGAACTCCTGAAATTAAAAAAACGAAACTACCGGAAAACTGTCAGAGCGCTCGGTTTAAAACCAGAGCCTTTGGTTCACAGGAACTAGTTTTGCATGTGCTGACCTAGTAATCTGAAACTCTCCATGTTTAACACGAACATCCACCATCCAACAGTACATGTACATGACAAATTTAGCGGCTGCTTTCTTTCAGCGTTGCATTTACATCGACAGTGACGAGGTGGGTGTTTACTTTCCTAAATAGGAACATTTTGTGGTGATTAATTGGTCAGGTTGTGAGAAATGAGTTGAGAAGCATTTCCCAGAAAGCCGTTTATAAGCTTTTACAGGGTGGATGAATGTTCTTCAAACGTTGGGATTAAGTTGTTAATATTCACATAATCCATCCTTAAAGAATTGAATAGTGCAGCTATCAATGCTTTTATGTAAGTAAGTAAGTAAAATTTTATTTATATAGCACATTTCTAGATAAAAGATCACAAAGTGCTTTACAAGGTAAAAAACCAAAAACAGTCAAAAGTTAACAAAATGCAATTTTAAAAAAATGTTTTTAGCTGTTTTTTAAAAGTAATCACTGAGTCTGCAGATCTTAAGTTCTGAGGAAGAGAATTCCACAGTCTGGCGGCCACAGTAGCAAAAGCTCTATCACCCTTGGTTTTCAGTCTTGTATACTGAATAACAAGTAGGCCCTGATCACAAGACCTCAGGGACCTACTAGGGGCATAGGGCTGTAAAAGTTCAATGATGTACGCTGGTGCTTGTTCTTGAATAGCCTTAAATGTCAGAACCAGAATCTTAAAATGGACTCTGAATTCAACGGGGAGCCAGTGCAGCTGTATAAGCAATGGTGTCACATGAGAGTATTTCGATGTTTTTGTCAGAAGCCTTGCTGCAGCATTTTGGACAATCTGCAGACGCTCCAGGGAGTTTTTGTTTAGACATGTAAACAGTGAATTACAGTAGTCCAATCGTGATGAAATGAATGCATGAATACCAATCTCCAGTTCAGTATGAGATACTATGGGGCTCAATTTAGAAATGTTTCTTAAATGATAGAAGCATGACCGAACCAGAGATTTGACGTGGACATCCAGGGTAAGAGCAGAATCAAAGGTTACCCCTAGGTTCCTGATAGACGATTTCACACATGTTGAAAGAGGACCAAGAGCATTCATTATGTTAGGTACATGTCTGTCTGGAGCACATACAAGGACTTCAGTCTTTTCTTCATTAAGTTGGAGGAAGTTGTCAGCCATCCAACCTTTGATGGTTTCTAAGCACACATTTAGAATCTGCAGCTTATATATAGATAGATAGATAGATAGATAGATAGATAGATAGATAGATATAGCTGGATGTCGTCTGCGTAGCAGTGGTAGCAAATGATGCGACTGTTGACTTCAACAATAGAGACTCATGGATTTGGGACAGAGGATGTCCAGACTTGACATGTGCAGACTATACTTATAACATCTCTTATGAAACGAACTGTCTCAGGATAAATACTCAGCAGAGAAGTGCTGCTATCTTGATATTTGGTCGTCATCTTCATGAGCTCTTAGTTATGAACATAAATCAGTTTGCACGGTTTAGAAGAAGTGATGTATTCTTCCTTAGCGTTTGCTTTTTCCACATTTTGAGCCTCCCCGAGTTGCTGCTGGCACATAATTATAACCGTGAAAGTGTTTTTCTCTGTATTTCTGCAGCTACAGGGTTTGAGCTGCTCCCATGACTGCTCAGCTGAACCCTCCAAATGCACATGGGGTCATAATCCTATCAGGTAGTCGGGGCAAATATCTTTGTTGCACAGGGGGCAAAAAATATGTTCAGCTTATTAAGACTGTTTGAACTTCACAGGCTTGTCGTTGGCTGGAGGTGGATGTGTAGGCCTGTACGGGGATGTATTGGTAAAGCAGCGCTAGTCCCCGGATACCTCGCGCAGAATGCAGGACATGACACTCGGGCTATATGAGGCAACATGCTGACCTCTGCAATTTATTTTCAGACTCCTTACGTTTGAAACGGGACCTTGCAGGAACTACAAGGGTGTTTCCAGACAGCGATGCAAAATGAATACCTGAAAGATGTCACTGCAGTCGCAAACACGACCAGAAGGGAGCAGGGCATAAGTGCCTCATCTTTTTGTAATTATTATAACAAAGTAATCTCGTCACCTTTGACAAATATTGAAGTCTTTCCTGGCGGTTATTTGTGCATTTATTTTTAAAATTGTATTTAAATTAACTTTAATTTCAGAAATCACCAGGATATTAAAACTCTATATATAGAATATCCAGTTAAACCTGGGGAACAAAACAAAACTTTAATTTGCTGACTTTGCACCAAATGATAACCTCACCTTTCCCTCGCTGACAGATATACTTCTGTGAACTCTGTAACAAGTTCTTGGTCTTCTTTCCTTTCTTTTATTCAGCTGAACACTGCACAAATGCTGGGAGTCCCGTGCTGACTGTGTGGAAGGAGAGGATAAAAAAGCGGGAGAGCAAAGGTGGAAGAAAATGATTAAAGGAGACTGGACACACCGGTCATCAATGGGCGAGAAAGAGGATGAGCGTACGGCTCAGGCCAGCCAGCTATTTGAGAACTTTGTCCAGGCATCTACCTGTAAAGGGACTCTGCAGGCTTTCAGCATCCTCTGCAGGCAGTTGGAGCTGGATCCACTGGACCACAGCAACTTCTATAACTCACTGAAGGCGGCAGTCAGCTCCTGGAAAGTCAAAGCCCTTTGGACCAAACTGGACAAGAGAGCTCAGCAAAAGGTCTACAACCAGAATAAGGCCTGCCAAGGCACGAGGGTAAGAAAGACCAAGCACGACTGACCTCTGAAGGTTCTGAAGTGGTTGCGTGATGTTGTTCTGATGGTGTTGAAGGCTGTTGAACGGCAGTAAACACATGATCCAAACTCTGAGGAGCAGAATTGATATAAATCGATGACTGAGATGCACGCAGAAACATTTATTTAGTGTAACCTGTGTTTTTAAGTATTATTT